AAAAAATTCCTTCGTCCTAAATTGTTTATAATCTTTAATAAGGTAACATTTGTTTGGATATATCACAATATATCATGGCACCATATTATGTTTCTCGTAGAATAAATAACCAAAACAGTACAGGAATGTTTTATACGAACTGACATCTTAAAAAATCATGTTCCTCAAACAAATAATAATTGGAACATTCTACGCGAACCATTTATAGATCTTCATGCGGTTAATTTATTTTTTCAAGAAATTATGTCATTGTAGCATGTTTGGAATGTTTCATTTTAAGCGTTTACCTTGTTTCAATCTTATCGTTTATTAGTTGCTGTTGTTTCTGTACTTTTTTTGCGATTTCTTTGTCTCTTCCAAGTGTAATTCCCACTGGGCGGTGTAGGTGTTAACATAAATAAATATATAAACACAAGTTTTAGTATTCTATACGCTTAATGTCATTCCTAATAGCGGTAGAACAACCTGGTGTTTGCAACTAGAGCTGCTTCAGAAGCAAACATTTTCTTTCTTGGCGATGCCACTCGCTTATTAGCAATCCCTCTTCAGCAAACAAGTAAGGCGGTGATCGGCATTAATCAAGTAGTGGCAAGTTATAAATTGGAACAAAGAGTATGCTACTTGAAATAGACGTCACAGCATCACCTCATCATCACCGCAGTAGGCTACACAAATGTTCTATCGGAATAAAAGTCTGCATCTTCTGTGATATTATGTTCCAGATACATTGGAAGTAAGAATGAATTTTGCGGGCATCAAACCTTTTGACTCAAAAATTTACGTGCTTCTAACAGCGTGAATTTAAACGAAAAAAAAACCCGTTGCCCATGAAAATTAAAGCGGTATTGAAGAAACCAATCAGTGGTCATCGTATTAAATTTCTTTAAAGCTAACAATTTGGAAAAAAACATAATATTAGTGATATGTTTAAGGTCGAATTATATAATTAACTGGTAGCTAAACGAAACGCTTTTTTATGTTGAAACGTTTAGCATTTTTTTCCGCTTATTTCACAAACTTGTCTTATGCAGGTAGTCAACTTCACAAGTTACTGGACGGATCCCTTAATACCAGGCCTTAGATTTGGAATCTGTACCACGGATGACTGTAGTGCCAAGGACCTTCAGGCTCTTGCCGAAAAATGTGAGTAACGTAAGAAGCTTTTAATTATTTTAGTCAAAGCGAAGGAGTAGCTTTGTAAAGACTCGCAATTTAGAATACAACGAATACTGATACCTGCCTGAAATAAACATGCTTTCTCGAACACAACACTAAAACGAGATGACATAAAAAAATTAAAATAGAACTTCGTAGACGTCTAGTGTTTGTGACCATACTTTGACTAGTGCACGCCAAATTAGAACTAGATGAAGGAGGTGACAACACAATAATGCGGGTAAGGATTGAGATGCGCTAGAAACCGTGGCATTAACACCAATAAGAAGGTACCACAATCCCTAACCCACGACATCGCGCATATGTTAAAAAAATGGACTTTGCGTTAAAAACGAAAGAAGGCGATTTGTTTTAATTTTAGCAGCATAGCTATCATCAAATATGTTCTTCGTTTTCGTAGTGCAGCTCATTTGATGTGTACTTCACGATGAAGTGATCGGCCTGTAACGCTCATAAACAAAGCTGAAGGACGCGGGCTTAGATATCTAAAAAGGCGTATTTTTGTATTGTTTTGCATTGCGTTTTTCTTTGCGATATATAAAGATTCGATATACGAAGCTATCCAGATATAGGATAGTAAGAGCATCAACGCCTTATCTTTCGTCTACAGCAAGCATTATAATAGGTATTTCAAGATGGTGGTTTCTTCATTAAGTCTATATGTTGATTTATTTCAGTACTCGAAGGAAAAGCAAAGATAGCTATCAGAGACTGCGTAACCAATGATAAGCCGGTTATGGATCGGACCCAGCGAATAATAATGTAAGTTGCGCACTTTTAGAGACTACATAAAACGTTTGATTGCATTTTTAGTGAAAGAGTGAAATAAACACAGCATGTAATTCATTTCCTCTTTCTATCAAACCATACCGAGTTTGCCATGATTAGATAAAACGTTGGCTCTGCGCTTACTGACATTTGAATTATAGAGCTCAGCTTTCAAGTTTTAACACTCGCCCAGGACGAACACGTTTATTTAATATTGAGGGTAAAGCGTTTTCACTTTAAGTTTGCGGGTGGTTTATTTTTTCGCGATATTAGTTTTGCGGTCGCGAACAAGTGGATCAGTTATCTGTCAGGAGAACACTGCACTTTTTCAGTTCACGCTCTAGAGTGAACCTCGTTTAAAATGAACCCACGTACAGTGAATTATGGTCGATATCGAGCTTACGGAAAATTCAAATAAAAATGCATGTAAAAGGTACTTTTCATAACGAACAACATATTGAGAAGAAAGAAAATTTTAAAAGCTCAAGCTGCGAACAAAATTGAGCGAAAGGAGCGACTGAGTAGGGGAGAAAGATATAAAAACAAACTCTGCACGCATGCAGAAAAACAAATCTTTTCAGAGCGTTGTTACAAGGCGGAAGCGAAGAAATTAGAAAGAAAGAGAAGCTCTCGCCTTACAACGAACGCATCGTGGAAGTTCGTTGTAAGTGGTTTTTGCATTATCGGATTACTTGCTATATCCAACTGATCGTAGCGTTTCCTGCTGTTCGTTATAAACGTGTTTGACTGTATTTGTTTCTTGGGTAATTTCAAAGTATTGCGGTAGACGCAACCGTTTCCTGCATATCGCACTGGCAAGAAAGGAAACTTAAAAGTATAGGGTGGCTCAAGCGGATACGATGCTGTAAATTGAGCCTGGAAAATAGGCATCTGCACAAAGAAAGCTCAAACTTGCACGGAACGTGCACCGAGGTCAGTTTTACAGTGGAATATTTCAATCTATTTTTTTTCCTGAAAAAACTAGAGCATCCAACTTGCAAAGCCAACATCGAGCGCGTTCAGAAATGACCGAGTTAGCGACGCTATTTACTTGTGGCGCCATATCCCGATGAACTTTTTAGGCGTTTGACGAGTGGAAATGACTGTCTCATGGAGTTAAAGGTACTGAAAGTGCAGCTAACAATTGACATACGAACCACAATTTGGTTGCTGCAATAGGATGACTGAATAAGCAGGTTAACGTGCGCGTGTGTGTGTATGTATGTTACAGTGGTGTCCTAGGTTGCATCGGTATCCTGATTGTCATCAGCAGCCTTTTTGACATATACATATCTTGGAAAAACCCAATGCTTGTGAAAAATGGTAAGCACTTCTCTGTTTGTAGCAATGCTTTATATAAATAATCTAGATTTGGTAGTAGCTCTAGTGACCTATAGTTCCCATCGTGATATTTATTAACTCATATATTTACTGCAACCAAAATAAAAAATATGTGCGTCACAATTTTTTTTTTCAATAATCTTCCACTCTTTGCATATCTATAAACTTTGCATTGCATGGGAAAGTAAATTTTGTTATGAAACATTCAATGTTCCACGAAAGCTTCCAAAGATAATATAGTTGGAAAAACAACGATGCAATACCAATTGAGAAGTGTCAGTGTTGACAAATATTTTTTTCTTCAAAAATACGGTACAGGTGCAAAAATAGGGTACAAAACCTTTTTTTCGGCTAAACTCGTCATGCTGCAGACCTCGCTTTAAATCAGCTGTCCAGACTGATACCGCATTTGAATAATGTCACGGGACGAAACCAACGTTACTGTTGAAATCTCTTTATTTTGTTACTTCAAACTTGCACTTTAAATATTCTTGTGTTATATTAAATTATGCATGTTAAGAAGCAAGTCACTGTCATCCGTCATATAGGCCAAAAAAGAGAGGAATGAAAGGTAAAACAAATTCAAATCTTCATTCTTGTTATTTCTTTTAAAGCCAAACTTCTGCAGCTTCTCACCGCATTTTCTCTGCCAAAAAACACCAAATATGTCGCCCGCGTGGGAGACGACAAAAGTGAAAGCAGCGCTATGTTCACCTTCATGCACGGAATACGTGCTATAAGTATCATCTGGATCGTCCTTGGGCATTGCTACGGAGGGTTCACCGATAATCTCTGTGAGTGTCTTCTACCTCCGGCATACCTCCGAAATGAATGAATGTATCAATATTATTCAGTACACAACCTGAACAAAGTTTTGTCAAGCTTCACATAAAGGTAAATTTACGTGGCGCAAGTTTGGGAAAACACTGCTTCGTGTGGATCATCTTCTGTGTGTCCTCCCAATTATAAGGCCTTTAGGAGGAATTTAGGTGATAAGTAAATGGCTCTTAATATTGAGTTGTGTCTAAGACGACACATATCTAGAGAACACAGTTTATACCATGTAGCCTAGTCTAGATTCTAACTTATAGGAAAACTTATGAACTTATAGTGCGACACTATAAGTCCTTCCATGAACTCGACTAAAAGTATAAATTATTTGCCATCTGTCGTGACGAGATGATACGGAAGATGAGTGGGTGGAATCACACGGTCAATGACCATGTTGCTTTAGTGTTTTATGTGTATATATAGAGATGACATACTTTATTCAAGCGCAGTTGAAAGTCAGCACTGTCTTGGTACTCCCCTTTACCTTCGTGCTAAGTAAAATAAAAATTCAGCTGTCCACATGTAGCTATGCACCAAATAGCTTAGCAAAAACCCGTTTCTTGGTCTAGTCATTTGTATGACCATTCTGGTAGTGGCGTCCACTATAAATTTTAGTATAATGATTTTTAATAATTATTACTGTACTTTTGAAATCTCTACAATTTGATATCTCATTTCATCCAAAAAAGACCCTCGAATACGCTGTCCAGATTTAGGTTGGAGAAATTATCTAAGTACGGCAAGACTTGAATTTAATTTCGTCATAATGTTGTAGGAACGTTTTCATGGTTCTAATGATGCCAGTCATTCATACCCATCTTAACAAGAAAAACAATTCACGCAGTAAAACATATTATGCCCCTTTTGCAGCAGGAAGATTGAACATGCTATTCTACTTTGAACGTCCCGAATTAATTGTTGTCACAACTGGTTTTCAATCTGTGGATACGTTCCTTCTTATCAGGTAAGAAAACTTTGTCAATTATTTTTTCTTTACTTTTTTAAGAGCATGACAGTCGCGTAGAGTGAATCGGATTGTCTTTGACTCACACCATAATCTCGGCCTTGACCATGTGAGAGTTCTCTCTTTCTACAGTCCTTCTATGTCGCTCTTTGGAAATTTTATCTGTTACCATTTTGTAAGGAAGCCGCTCAGAAAAGTTGTCAATGCGCTGTGCAGGAAACGAGTGGATAAATAAATATTAAATTATTCGTGCATATTTTATGACACAATGCTAAAACACCTTTATAATGACAATCAACATTTGTCGGTACATGTTTTACCCAAATGACTCAGTACCTGATGAACGACTCGTTCCCCATACCGGCCAGGGCAGCAGAAACCACTAGCCAACATAAAATCTAGCGACTGTTTTATTTTTATTCGCCTATAAAATCATAGAAATTGTTTGTGTAGCTGAAAATTATATTGGTGACTGTTAATAATATACAAACGTGAGTAAATGCAACTGTGATTGCTTTATAGTTAATACATATTTTGCTAGTCATAACGCTTAAAATTACGGTATTAAAACAAAAGTTCCAATTACCTAAATCTCCGGGAGCTTCAATGTTACATGTAAAACAATTGTTTGATAGTGTTAGTGTTGTTCATAAATGCCATAAAATATCATGTTTTCATTTAGAAACTTAACACGACTAATGTAGATGGCTTACAACTCCCGGTAGCAAAATTACATTTGTTAAAGATGCATTGTCACGAGTAAAAGTTGATTTGGTAACGCAGTTGAAAGTCTATAAAATTCGAAGTGTGCTTCCGAAGACAAGGAATAATATTAATTTCATTCAACAAGAAAATGTACACAACCTCGCATACACCCGCCAAAGTATGGGGATTCTTGTTCTCAGAACTCGGCAACCAGCTGAGTTTCATTTCTAAACACCATTTCAAACAAACTACAGAAAGGAAAAACTAGAAACAAATATATATTCATGCCCAACCCTTACAAAAATTTTAGGTATTATACTTCAAATGCTAAGGTTTAAAAACTTTAGAAACAAGTATCTGATTTTTTTCTTGGCATTTTTAAATTTGCAATATTTTAATTGTGTATTTTTGGCGGCGTAGAATTGCAATCACTTCAAAACCTTTGTCGCTACAGTCATTCTAAGGCAAAATTACTCCCAATAGATTCCACAGGTGGTTGGTAATTATTTTGATTTACTTGCACACGACCAGACAGAACATAATAATTGTGAAGTCACTTTTGTAAATTAGGTCTCAATTGCGTGATAAAATGACTCAGGTGTCCTATAAAATAAAGTTTCCCGTACGACAGCGCTGCATTCCTTTTGTTAGTTTCGCAAGTAAACACCCAAAATTTTGTCTTTTTTTTTTTCGTAATCATTGCTAAACTAGCACCTTGCTCTTTTCGTCTATTGGCCAACATATATCTACTTTTATGTTTATACAATGTTGTCTTCTGCTTTTCATATAAAATTCAGCTAATAGTTCAGCGTTCAGGCCGAATTAAAATCGTCGTTAATCAATCCTCAAAGATAACAAAACTAAAGGACGAGATGAAGTTGTCCAGAAAAAAATATAAAAACAGCATTGGAACAAAAATTCTCCTACAATGTTGTACAAAATACTTGCTTTCTCGAAAACTGAAAAGAAAATACTGACCTAGCGAAAGGCCCCTTTATAAGTCCTTCAAAAAGGCAGCCAAACTTTTCAACGAAATTCCAGTATGTGTTTTGTTTTTGTGCTAATAATGCCTTCACATGCAATTACCATATATGTCACATTTCAATAAACCCATTCTTATGTACACACTTACGGTACAATGTTACCTAAGGAAATGTAAGATTACTGGAGCTTCCGGTTGCCAATAATATTTTCTTCCTATTTCTTTCAGCGGATTTTTGCTGACGTATGTTGTTCTGAAACAAAAAAGAAACCGCCTAGTGGTTATTCTTATCGCAGTGGTGAGGCGCTACATCAGGCAAGTAACTACATGTCTTGAAGTTCAATATATGTTATGGTATCGGCCAGCCAAAGGCATATATATTGAACCATGCTTAAAAGCGCTAAAAAGACGTATACAAGATAGAAGACAAACACGTTTGTCTTCTATCTTGTGTACGTCTTTTCTAGCGCTTTAACTATGGTTCAATGCAGTCAACACCAACTAGCCCAACAAGTTCTTTTACAAAGGCATATATTTTCATACAATTTTTTATTCTCTCAAATGTCGACGTTGAATGTTTCGAATCTTTAAAAGAGCTCGTATTTAAGTTATTTCAATTACGTTGTTGTGTATATTTCGTCGGAAAAAAAATCTTTTTTTAGAAAAACAAAAATACGGCACTGTGACACTACAAAAGTATATAAAGAAACTTCGAAGCAAATAACAAGGTGTTCTATGCTCTCTCGTAAAACTGTTGAAAGCTTTCGATTCCCACATGCTGCAAGAAGTTACAGCACTGCCGAAATTATTTTTGTTCCTTCCAGGTTGTGTTCACACCGAACAACAACGGTAGCATGTATAGGCATGTATTCATATATGCCAACAAATTGGGTTGCGAGACACACTTCATATTTCCATGAAACAAACGGTGTTCTCTTTCAACTCACTAATTTGGTAGGCAATGCAGTGACCGTATTTTCCGGGCTATAAACCGCGAACTGTCTGAAGGTTAAACTTTTACACGGAATATCTGCATGTGCGGACTGTGCAGTAATTTTTCATTCTAAATCATTTATTATGACGAGGCGTGAGAAACTTTGTGATTCAAATGGTATGTAAATGATGATTTATGTATAATACAAGCTGTCTTGTGAGTTAATGTAGGAGCAATTGGTAGAAATGTGATGCGTATAATATGTACGTGCCGACTAGGCATCGGGCGCAAACTATGTGCCGGTTTCAACAAAAACTCATTTTTGACCACAAATTTGCTCTTCAGACTATAGTACAAACAATACGGTCGTTACTTAGCGAAGAAATAAATATAACTAACTGACCTACCTTTTAAACAATTCTAATAAAGCTATGATCCCTTTGTATAAAACCTTCTTATTTCCGAGTTGTTTCGAGGCACAAATATGTGCCACATATTTTCGATGTCAAAATTTCTTAAAGGGGCGCTGAACGCCTGAAAACATATTCAGTGCCGAACGGCACCAGAAATTCGTCCAGACGAGACGAAACGTCGGTGCTCATAAAGCATTTATATTTACAGCGTACACAGAAAAAAAAACAGCTATGAAAGAACACAATTAGGTGGAAAGTCAAAATCTTAGGTAACTTTCGTCCCGCACGTCAACTCTTAAGCTGACGTCGGGTCCCAATCGTTTACGCTGGTGAATCACGACTTGCAGTCTACACTTTGCGTGTCTTCGGCACCACGACAAAATAAGAGGGATGGAGTTTCACAGCGGTGCTGGAGCGGGTCCAGCCGCTGGTGCACTCACCATGGAGCGATGGTCATGACGACACCAATCTTCAGATTGACCACCTGCCAAAAATCTACGTTCTTGTTTTTTTCTTCGTTTTTTCTTTTTCTTGTCTTGTTCTTGTTTCTTTTTTTTTTTAGGTTGAAACCGTTGCAAAAGATTTATTCCGGAAAGTTTTAGTGCAATAATTACATCGCGAGAGACATTTTGAGTTATGGGCAATTCCGAAAAATGCTTCGATTTCGACGAGTCTACTAGGAACTTTGGAGTCGCTCCGAACACGAAATGAGTCGCGCCACAAAAATACTGCGCTAAAAACTGTTTTTTTTTATAAAAGATTATATTGGAACATTGTGACGTCGTTTTCACATTGCGCTACTCGTAAACTCACTGATTTGTCGTATTGTGTACAACCATATAAGTGAGCATTTTTTTTTTGTTTTGCTTACATACATCTATGAGCATTCAAATAGTGAAAATCGTCTTTTAGTTGAATTTTCTTATATTTTTGCATTAGCTATTAGCTACGTTCCTGGTTAAATCAACGAAAGAAGAGTTTACTTATAAAGTTCATGCAAAAGAAATGAGAATATCGTATGACATGATGTATAAGAACATGTAGTGAAAAGCTAATAAATGTATCGAATAATAATTTTACTGCCATATATTTTAGTCTCTTCTAGCCTACAACTCTTTATCATACTAACCAAGAAGCTTTTTTCTTCTGAAAAACACAATTGAATTACCAATGAAGACTGCAATTCATCTAAAATATCCGAGAAACCGACGTATTATGTACGTCCATAGCAATGTTCCGCCATACATACATAACCTATTTTTACAAGAGCAATTATTTGTATTATTTCTCAAACACAATACTCAACCACTATTTTTTTGTGGCACGGGACATTTCATCGAACGGCATTTCGTCGAACGCTGTTTTATCGAAGCTGTTTCATCGAATGCAGTTTCATTGAACGCCGTTGCATCAAACAGCATTTCATAAAAACTGCTTCATCGAATTGTTTGTGAAATAAAATAGCTTGCACAACCGAAATTACCTATCTTTATTCTGATTGCCTAAATATCAAAGCTAAGTAAGTATGTTTCATTGTGCTTTCGTAGATAACGACAACCACTGGCAGGCACAACAACAAAGTTGCAACTTCAACAACATAAAAATTAACATGCGTGAAATATTTCATACCCCCCTTCTTCCAAACTGCAATGCACTGGTTTTTAATTTGTCGCCCACATCCATCTCGCTTCCGAGGGTTATGTATATAGCATTACTCTTGCTTTTCGTCGTTCCCTGTTTGGAAAGTTTACAATGGTTTATCTTCGTTCCAAGTGGACAAAGGTTTAGATTAAAAAATTACGAGGTAAATTTTTAAAGACTTCTTCTCTTTAACTGTCAGGTGTTCTACCATGAATTACTACACGCTCACAAGCCAAATAGTTTTATTGTAGTTTTCTGGTGTGAATGAGACAACCTTGACCGGCTTCTGACCTATGCCAATGCTACCTGTAGTCCCGGGGGCAGTGCGCGTCTACTTTTAGTGCACAAAACAAAATGGGCGATAAGACGTAAGAGTTGACATCACTTGACAAAATACCTGCGTACGGAGAGGCACCTATACACGCTACAGTCTTGGGTAGTAACGCGTTACTAGTAGCGTGTTACTGTAACTTCGTTACTTTTTTGGTAACTTGTAACTGCAACGAGTTACTTTTTTAAAAATGCAGCTTGTAACTGTAGTTTCATTACTTTTTCTGAGGTAACGATGAAAGTAACGGCGTTACTTTTGCCGTTACTTTCCAGTTGTTTTATGAATAATATATCATTGAACGAGTACAATCTTGCTATTCCTTGTACTTTCCAAATTGTCGTTTCCGACATTTTGAGTGTCAAGTTGGCCTTGCGCAAAATTGTAAATGCGTTCTTTCTCGCGAGTCGCGACCCGAATATAGTCACGTGTAGATTTGATGAAAAAAAAATTTAGTTGTCTCTACGGACAGTTACATCTAAGTATCTTGAAGCACTATCTATGTTGCGGTTGTTCCTTTTTCTGCACAAACGCTTTTTAATCGAGTGAATCAACCGTGAATCAACAATACACGCGGAGGGCACTGCACATGTTTCGTATATTGATTAACGCCGCTACTACTTAATGCGCATGTTTCGCAATTGATGTGCACCACTACTCCGTCGTGGTGTCAACGAGCGAGGCAAAATTTACCGCTGCTTGCGCGGGATTTGTTTCCGGCTGGCCGGGTACAAACTGAAATGTGTCCAGCGACTCTATGAATCCAGCGCAACCGTCAAAAAGCCAGCAATGTGTTAGTGCTACCAAGGATAGGGCATTTGTATTGAGTCCGCGTTTGCCCCCGTGCAATTCCTTCCAGCGCGCCAGTTGAGCCCCTGTTCAGCAAGGGCAAGGACGTGTTCGCCATCAAACAACGGAAACTTTCAGACAATACTTTCTAGAAGCAACTGCTGCTAAATTACAATATATACTAAAAAGCGCACTTTTAAATGTTATGCAAAAAAACTTGGCGAGGGGCGTTTTCTAGCTTTCCCTAAATGTTTCGTGTTGTAGATAAGCAACTGAGAAGTTACGTCTTTACTTTTTAAAAGTAACTGTAACTGTAAGGAGTTACCATTTTATTGCGGTAACTGTAACGGTAACTTCGCTACTTTTTCTGAAAGTAACTAACTGTAACGAATTACTTTTTAAAAGTAACTTACCCAAGACTGTACACGCATAAGGCGCAATGCTATAAATATATCGATCAAAAATTCGATGAAACAGCATTTTATAGAACGAAATTCAAAACAACGTTCATTTTTGTGATACATCGGCGTTCAGTGATATGACGTTCGATAAAATGTCCGGGAACTATTTTACTGACAGTAAAATTGGTCACAATATGTAGATCAAGAACAACGAAAAGTAAAAAAAAAAATCAAAAGTCCAAAATAATTCAGCAGACACGTCTCAACGCTCAAAGGGGTTTTCTGAAACCATCAAAAAATTCTTAACGCTATAGAGTTATTTTTCTTTTGGTGATTTACAGTGCCACTTTATGTTCTCCGCAGGACGATCGTCCCCCTCTTCTTCCTGCTAATGTGTATGCATGTTCTACCTTTGTTCGCAACTGGTCCAACGTCCACGGAATATTACCGAAAATTCTACACAGAAATGAGCAGGCATTGGTGGGATTTGCTTCTGCAGATTCATAATTTCAGGATAAAGGTGGAGTCTGTGAGTACAATCGCTTCCATATTTGAAGCAAGTTGGTGGGTTCGGCGAGTTGGTAAGCACTGAACATGGTGATAAACAGTCCACAGGATACAAAGACCAAAGTAGAAGAAAAAAAACTGCAGCGCTTGTTCTGTTTGCTTACTTCTACTGTGTTTTTGTTTCCTGTGTGCGGATTATAACCATGTTCTATGGCCAAAATTTAAGAACAACCGAGCTACTCCAGAAGCAGGAGTGATAATTATTAGACAGAAGGAACTCAAATCATTCGCGCATCATGCACGCTAGTTGTTCATGCGTATTTTTTTCATTGTTGACTTGTTATCTTCCGGTAGAATGACCCGTGCTTCTCTAATTGCACCTTAGAACAACAACTTTTTTTAATATTTACAATCCTGCTTCACGCGTTCTCCCGAACAGCTCGAGATTTTGAAACAGATGTTTTACGTAGCCATAGTCTTTTTTATTTATTTACCTTTAAAAAAATGAATGTTGCACAAAATTGTGTATTTTAGGTACTATATACCTTCATCTCGTTTCATCCCCTACCTTTTGTGGTATTCAGGCCCGAACCGGCCGAGCCCCGACTGCCTCCAGGAAGTCAAAAACTACAGAACAAAGTTCTGGCAAAAGCAACTTTTACTCACTCTGGAAAGGAACGATTCACAATGATCCCCTCTGTCTATGCATAATCGAACTGAAATCTCGCGCTCCTCTCACGCGCCCTCGCTGCCCCCCCCCCCCCCCCCCCTCGTAGTCTTCCTCCCCTTTTTATTTTTTCTAAAACCCCCATCTCTTTTTTTTTCGAATTATTTCCCATCCTTCCACCTTCGCAAAGAGTGAACAACCTTGGGAGAATATCTACGTTCCTTGCCAAAATATTTTGATATTTGTCTTTTTCTACTACATAAGTATGTCGTTGCTTTTCTAAACATACCTGCAACCGACCATTCGACGAGCCGATGTAGCCGTCTAGCTTGCAATGCACTTGTGAGATTGAGTTCGTTTCTTATGTGCTGATTCTAGTAGACAAAATGGTACCGTTACCATTTTTATCGTTATCAGTGACTAGTACGGCACCCATAACCAAACCTCGGGCCTCTTTTATTCTGCTCGATAAAAAATAGGCAGCAAAATGCAACTGCACTCACATGAGACTTTCCCAATTTGCCCCAGTTTCACTTTAAAATAGTGCAAGCACGACGGAAGGAAGAACGAGAAGTTTGCCTAACTAGCTTAATAGATGACGTTATTGCCCCCAGTTTCCTGCTCGATTTGTAAACTTGCTCCCTTTGTAACCAGGCTTTCATCCCAATTATGTATTTATTAGTATCTATATTGTCGTATAAGTTAGGAAATCTCCGCTAAATATTCGATGCCAGATATGTTTGCTTGGAATTCAGAATTCACAATGAAAACGTAATTTTGTTTCTAGTATTCTACGGTGACAGCGCAGGGAAACAGTCGCACACCAGATACTCAGTTAGGCAAGCAAACGCGCTGACGCGTGCTTGTCTCAAACAATCACACACCAGATACTCAGAAAGGAAGGCAGCGCGTATGCTTGTCTTTCTGAGTATCTGGCGTGTGGTTATTTCTCTGCGCTTTCACCGTAGAATATGGTTCACCAATTCGCCCAAACATCCATCCTATCAAGTTTTTTTGTTTTTTTTTTACGCTTCCTTATTCCTTTTTTGAGACCGCCGCAATTTATGAACCACGAAATGGAAAAAGTATGCGTGTGTCTAGCGTTAGGGCAAAGAGCAGATATATAAGACCCCGTTCATAAATGATAGCGTCCGTTAGTTGTGCTATTTAGTCTAGAAAAATCGCAGGCTCAAAATATTTTTGAAATCCACGCCTGAAAAAGCAGAAAACACTCTTTCAAGCCCAACATTATATTGTGGACCAAGCATAAAGTAATGTACCGTGTATCCGAACAAGTCGATGATGATAAAGAAAATACACAAAAAAAAACATGTTTTCATTTCTGTGTTTGAGACAAACAGCGCGTGAGTTCTAAACCAGTTCCGAAATTTTCCTAGCTCCAAGTCGATTTCGCAACGAACTCCAAAAAATGAGTTCAAGATTTTGTGTAAACTAAACAAGCGACGGTATAAAAATGTGTTTCTAATACATAAACCAAACTAAAGATGCGGCCAAACCTTCATTATCAATATCAGCGGAGTAATAGGGAAGGTAGGTTGAAACGACCGAATAAAAATCGGGCGGTACCAGCGGCCCGGTGATCATGCGAGGAGTTGAACTACGCTCGCGAAAAAACGTATGGACGAGAGGGCGGTGCCACTGCACTCTGGCTACGGCGCCTGGGAGCTTGCCTTTGACTGGCACATTTAGCGTTCTATTTCGTCCGTGCATCGGAAGAGGTCCACGAAGTGGCAACGAATCACGTCACAAGAACCCGGAGTGTCATGCTGACTGATGTCGCGAACGTGGTGGTTGGTCGTAAAAGTTCCGGCAAAAAGTACGAGCAAATGTGAGTGTTGCTGTCGTCACGGCGACCTAACTCCTTGCTGCCGAAGCATCCGCCAACTGTCGGGATGGAGAGCGACCTGCAGCAGAACGGGCGTCTGCTACATACTCCAGTGCTGCCGTAACATCGTCAGGATTACGGCCGGGACAACATGGCGCTTCTATGATATCGTCAAGCGGACTTCGGTGGGCCACTTTTTTGGACACCGTGTAAACACACAAGTCGGAGACGTGTCCCAGGCACCATCCTCTGGCTATGCCTGATCATGCAAAAAAGAAAAAAAAAAAACTTCAAAGCGACGCTGAACTTTCAGAAAACGCATTTTAGTTGCCAGGGTAAGGCACTCATGTCAGACAATCAGCTTTCCCCGAAAACCAGAACGCTCTGCGCAATATTTGCCTCGCGAGACTCATTGATTCTGAAGCGTGATCGTATTTTAGAGTCGAGGTTTTAAAATAGAATCGCGTCTCAAAATCTCTCCTGAATTGAAATTTAAGCCTCGCGATGTAAATATTGCCCTTTCAAGATATTTCTGGCCGGGAAAATAAAATTAATAAATGTGCATTAGGGACCTCGGCGTCTTTTTAAAATGAAGTGATATTATTTGCCATGAAAAATATCTGACCAGTTCCAAGCACCAAATAAGTGGCAGCAACAAAAGCAGAGGCGACTGGCATTGACGTGCAGCCTAAGAAACAGAAATAGACATGGCGAATTCCAGTGGCGCCGCAATCTCGGTAGCATACTCCTTCGGGCTTTGGTTCACCTTGCCCTCCTAAGGCGGAACGCTGCTATATCTAGGATTTTCGCTTGGTCGTTTCAACTTATGTTGTGTACAATTGCTAAAAGGAAGAAAACTAACTTGACAAATATTTAATAGGCGCGCAAGTTTAGCTAAAAACTACTCTTGTGCCCACCCTCATTCGATGGCACACGTGACTGTGGAGCTTTTTTGAAGTTATAATTCTGTACTACTTGAGTTTTTATTAATGTAAACTCTACCTGTGAATATATTTTTTGAGCATTTATAAAGGCTCTTACGCAGGAAACAGAAAAATGCAATTTATGCGTTAATGCGATCCAATGACGACATTTAAATTTTGTGAAGCGCGATAGGCTGCAATAATACAATCCATATGGCTAGCTTAAGGGCAGATATTTATTCAGTTCTTTGTGAAATTTTTCAGGTTGCATTGATTCACATCTGGTACGTTTCCGCAGACTTCCAGCTGTTCCTGGTATCCATCATAGTAATACAGATTTTCAAAAAGTGAGTAATGACGACTAACATAGCCCATTCCTATGTCTAAAATATGTTAATTTGATGACATCATGGTGGATAATTATGCTATAACTAGAAAATTAAGGCACTTCAAAATTTTAAAAATAGTGTCACGACTATTTTAATCTTCTAAACCTCTTGCCACAGAAAATAACCAGTGGCAACATGAACACACTTAATCACCAGTGCTCACATGTGGCTACATATACTGAGTTTAACTTTAATGCAAGCGAATGTTTGCACCAAAAACTAGTTTAGTTTGTTTACACCTCTAGAAAGCCAAAACAATGGTTTCTTTTTTGGATATCTCTTGGCATTTTTTTCATCGAGCTATAGCAAATATAAATATTACTTACAGTAATCTTCAAAGCTCACGCATAGTATACACATTGCTCTAGTCATCACTACTCCGGACTCTTTGGATTGTATTTAAACGTTTAGGTTAGTATTAATAGGTATACGTATGTGCGTCAGGGCCATCAGCTATGTGAGCTTTCTGTCAGTCGTATCACCAGCCTATACAAATATTTACACTTTTTAGCAAGGTAAACTGTTAGTGTCAAAGTTCCTGCAGCTTTTACTGATTGCAATGCAGTATTCTGAAGTTTTTCAGCATGCTATTAAATGTAAGGTGTATTCAGCACCTTTTTTCTTCGTGCCCTATTGAAAATTCCATCAAGATATGTAATTTGGGACACTCACTGCCAGTCAGCATCCTTGGTGGAACGTGCTCTGATGGTCCATCAGATGACGTCTGACTGCCACTGCCAAGAGAATTTCATCAGCAAGGGCAGCATTTATATAAGAGTAAAGCTATACGTACTCATAAATATCGCCAAATGCCTCGACAAAACAAAATGTTCGAGAAAAAAAAAGGAAAAAAAAGCATGTCCACCGCGGATCGAACCCGCGTCCAATTGCGTACAAACCCTATGCAATGCCATCGCTTAGGAAACCCGATTTGACCATTTCTTTTCACACGAGTTTAGCGGAGCGCGTATAGCTTTACTCTTTATATAAAGCTCAAATTCCGAGGTGGCAATCTTTGAGGCTATGAAACGGTTCAAAAGCCGAGGTTTGCATGGCTGTGAAACGATTCACAAATCCTTAAAATGAATGTAATTCATGACATCAAAAATCAGAAAAAGTGTGTACCCGTACTTTTTTTCCCCCTTTTGAAATTTGCGTTTTTCGAGCAAAAGGAACATTCGTTTAGAAACGGGACCACACGCACCGAAAGCATGTTTCAAAGAAACGCCCTCGATGTCTGAACCTTTCGGGACGACCGTATACACTTTGATTCGCCAAACCTATGCGACTCCGTTGAAGCTAGAGAGCAAGCATGCATGCTACGACAGACAGCCCTGGCTTCCACGGACGAACGCGAGCAGCCCCGACACAGCGGTAAGGCCAATAGCCCATGCCAGATAGAAAGGTATAAACTTTCTAGCCCAAACCTGTCGGACCGAGTCAGGAGCATTTTAGTACAGCAGCGCGAGATTCCGACAATGAGCGCATCACTCTAAAGAATGCTTCGGCTGCATATGCAATTAAGCCTTCACCATGTTATGCAAAGCACTCGTACATCACTCGCCGTACGTCAGTTCTACTCACCTGCCATGTAGAGTACTTTCGCGTCGTAGAACGATCCTTTTGTCCGCGCGTCTCCGGCCCAGAAGACCTGGTACACCTTGTCGTCTTCAACCCGCTAAAGTCCCTAACATCGTCGGAACTCACAACAGGCTGGGTCTTGTCGAGTATAAATTAGACTAAAACATAAGACATTGTAGATCCCGGGCAGGATCGACAGGTTGGAGCAAGTGGGCAAACAAAACGAGTCGAGAGCGATCGTTCATGGAAGCTCGGCGAAGCCTCTTTGGGCGAAGCGAAAGTGGCGTGTTCGGCGTTTCGGCGGGCTTCTGATCAAGGTTGTCGGTCGGTTGCGTGTCATATCTCTAACATCAGCGGTTTTATGGGCTCACGTCCCGAAATCGTTTTCTTGTGCATACATTTTTTTTCTTATTTATAGATTTGACGAAATAGTGGTATCCGAACAAACTTTACGTCCTTTGACCGTACGTCTGTCTGCACGTCGAAGCTTTTTGACGTACAGTCAAAGACAATGGATGTACGATCAGAATCGCCACCAAGACATCTTGATGGCATTTCGCGGCGGCCGACTGCCCCCAGGAAACCGTCAGAAAGCCGACAAGCGGAGTCTGACTGGAGTTTGACTGTCGGTCAGAATAACTCGTTGGCCAATCAGACATGCTTGACGTACAGTCAGGCACAGTCAGCGGTCCACTAGAAACCATTGACTGCCAAACAGGGTTACATTGGTGGATTTTTCCTTCGGGTGGTTTCATACATTCATTAAGTATCATTTTTTGTGCAAAGCAAGGATCTTGAAACGTTGAGCGAAATATATGTAACCATTTGTAAGACACGGTTGTACATTACATTTATGTTACACATAAAAAAGCACATGATACGTACTGAAATTTTTACTTTAAGTTGTAACTGCAGGTGACGTAAATCAAATCTCCTAAGCCCTTCCGCTAAAAACAGATATTGCATACACTTGATGTCCCGCCGGTTTGAAAATTCAGTGTGTGCAATCACCTTGTGCAACCACAGTTAAGGCTTAAAATAAAAATGAGGTTGATGACAAATATCTACGCTGGGGTTCAACCAGTACTATTTAACAAAGAATGAAATACAAAATAACCCATCTCGCAGATTCAGAACTCAAAAGACCTCAAAAACTAAAGGGCTTCAAGCACAAAGTGATTGGATTTTCCCGGGTCCTTCCATCTATCTTCTAATCGAAAAGTAAAAAACGTGTTGTCCTATAGACAAACGGTTTGAGAAATAAACAGTTTTGTAATATTAAATATTCCACCAACAATATCGCTCAAAATATCCTGTGCAAAATAAAACTACGTGAAATTTTATGAATGTGGTTAGCTAAAACATGTCTGACATGGTGGGTGTAACAGCTTCAAAAAACGAGGGCAATAAAAGGAACAGGCACGACAGGACAACAGCTGTTGTCCTGTCGTGTCTGTTCCTTTTATCGTCCTTTTTTTTTGGAGCTGTTACACCCATTATGTTAAACTTTTTGCCAGCTTGCCCAGTTCAACACCTTGCTAAAACATGTCATTAAGTTGTTTATTTCGCCTTCCCATAAACTAAAGCAAGCTTTCTAAAAGTGTTAAAGCAACCCTTCTATAAAAGAGCTCTGGTTTTAAAACAATGTACTACAGGGGTGAAAACCTTGATGAACTCGCCTTCCAGATTCATATCAAAACAGACGCTGCAAACATAGGCTTGATATATTACCAATGTTCTGAAAGCAATCCCTTCACACTTTTCTTATTATGGTATTTTTCTTCTACCAATGAAACACAGTTAGCCTGAGTGTGAAGTAGATTTCTAGTGCAATGTGGAAGAAACACCCATCCACATTATCCCAAGTAAAACATTATGCAAGCGGTAAATATTGCGTCTAGATTGGGCCCATTGCATTAAAAAATAGAAGTATTAAACGACGCTTGGAATAGTTGAACACACGTATGTGTATTCATTCCAGATCCAAATTGTGGTGCGGAATTATATTTGTGCTGATGTCGTTGGTGTGCTGCGGAATATCGGCTTGGATAGTGCATGATACTGAGATCCCGCCATTTATGATCGGCATGACAGAAAACTTCAGGTGAGTGACTAAATTCAATGTAATATATTCACTATATCGCAAGAAACTCAATGTGACCTGACGTGAATTTCAGTGTGAAAATATTAATAATAATAATTATAATATATTACGGTCTGGCGTTTCATTTTTGTCGTTTCTAATTCTCATTATGGTGCCGAACCAAATTTATTCAATAATGATCCTCGATTGGAAGTGCCAAAAAGCCGGAATCGGGTTTCACTTTCCTCGAACGGTAGTGAATCAACTTACAGGGTTCCAAATATTTGCACTTAACATCTAGCACTGCGAGTGACGTTAATATGACAAACAAATAAATTAATGATAATACGTCACTCATACGCCATTTGACACTTAAATTGGTGGTGCAACAATTTTCGGTTAGTTGCAGGAATTATTCCATTTCACTAATAGAGCAAAGAGAAAAAGCTTTTATTTACGAAGATGAAACAATCCGGGATCAGACTACCCCTCAACTTTCACGTAGCCCTTCGAGTGACATCCTGGGAGTAGCCCTTGGTTTCGCGTTGGGATCTGTTCTCGGGGCCCCGAGAGCTTCCTCCGCGACTGTCGACTTTTCGCGGATTAGCATCGCCGAAAATGGCGGCGAGCGATCCAGACGAACGACTGCTTGGCGCGGGGCTGGCGGCGAGTGTAGTAGCGGAGGGGGATTGGTTTGGTTTACCTCCATGCAGTCCAAATAACGGAACACCGCAGTTCCTATAACCGGCACAAGAGGCAGCAGATCGGCAAATAATTCGTGTTTTTTTTTTTTCATTTCGATTGCGCAGGGAATGGGAGTATTTCTCTCACTTGTGCCAAGATGAACAATTTAAAAACACACGCTGAAAATTGATTTTTTTTTTCAATTATACATTCGTTGCCTACCCTTTTCACGAAGCCACCGCTACTAAACTTACTTTTTTAAATCATTCTGAAATATACATACATATCCATAAACTTGTCAAGTAATAAACGTAAAAGATCAACGACGGAAGAAGTACTTTAGATATTTTAAAGAAACTACTACCGAAGTAAAGTAACGCATCAGCTTTCTAATCAACTTTCGGGTGTAGTTTTTTTTAAAGAAATTTAGATTAGTGTGCGGCTGAAATCGATTAACGCTTGCTCAAGTCCTGAGATAAGTATAATCCGCTCTAGAATGTCTCATTGTCGTAAGTGCCAAAAGTATAAATAGACGATATATTGCATTTCATATGTTTCTTCTGCTGTGCGCTTAAAAGGGCACTAAGGTGCTCTTTAAGATCCCGTTTTATTGTCGTAACTCAATCCACGAGCTCTAAGCGTCCTAAGAAACACGAAATTACTTTCATACGCCGCCGAATAGCATAATAAAAACGTGGTCAAAGATCCAGACATTTACTGTTCGCGCAGAACGACAGGTGGCACTACCAAACCTTGCAGATTATGGTTGAGCGACGGTCGGTTCTTGTCAGCCACTCGCGAGTGATGGATTCCCGCGTAGACGAGCGGCATTGATCGGCCGCTCGTCCACGCAGGAACGCATCGCTTGCGAGTGGCTGAAAAACGCCGTCCGTCGTTCGACCATATTCAACAAGGTTCGGTAGCGCCATCTGTCGTTCTGGGACAATGACAGGTGTCGCAATGTTTTATCCCTTTTTAATACGCAAATTGGCCCCGCATAAATGCAGTTTCGGGTCTCTTGGGATGCTAAAAACTCGTAGGCTGAGTTACCACCATAAAACAAGGATCTCAAAAGGCGCTTTGGTGCACCTTTCAGAATGCCCAATAATTTCTATGTATCAATTTCTTAAAGGAGCAAGGTTAAGTGCTAACCTGTTTGATAAAAAATGGTTTAGTGCTCACTTGGTCATTTTTTCCAGCACCCCCAAAGATACGATGGAAAACTACTACACCCTCCCCTTTTATCATGCGGTCTGTTTCTTCGTGGGTTGCATTACGTGGCTTCTCGTGGATACATACAGACACCACCGCATGTCCACAGTAAGAAATCTATACCATTTTGTATTTTAAATACCTCAATACTTAGAGCTTTCAATCCTCATTGAAAAGTTAGCATTACTAGAACAATTGCCAAATATTTCACTCTTATTCCAAGAGTGTATTGCTTGAATATGGTAGCGCTTGTGGTAACCCTAAGATACTAAACATTTTACCTATCCTTGTCTACCCCTTGCATCCCCGTAGTATTATACTTCGTTTCAGCTTAAGTGCAGACACAGCCGACGCTACGTGTTAGTGGGACAAATCAAGCAGCATCAAAAACGCAAATCACTGGGTCTTTTTTCTAATTCGTTCAGCGAGGATAGAAAACGTACAGAAACCTGATGAGCACCATGATGGTGCGCTTTTGACGCTGTCTGATTTGTCCCATCAGCTCGTGGCGTCGGCTGTCGTCTTGACTTAAGGGGAAACAAAGTACAAAGGTTAGTACTTTTCAAATGTTTTATGGATTCGTTTCTCTGCAAAGCATTCAAAGAGCCAACCAGTTCAATCTATCCATGGAGCTTGAGGCACGGCAAAACCCGAGTCGTGTTTCCATTGAAAAGTTCAGTCTGTGCTATGACACCGAGCACAGCGTGTCGCCGGCTTCAATTTTAGGAAAAACCATATAAAGAACAGACGCATGGTCGTTTCTTTTTTTTTTTTTAGAATGGGGAGGAAAGCCAATCGCCGGGCAAATAAAGCATACCTGGCATAGCACGTGTCCGCTACTCCCATTATATTTGATCCATCAAATTGTAGTTAACTCGGGATAACAGCTGAATATCGGTGCACACTCTAAAAAAAGGTGTATTCTTGCACCCTTCATCCCATGCAATACACCCCAAAGCTTCAGTTGGACGTACAGCGCACTGACGTCGATCTGGCGGTACTAAATTTCACGAGAGGCTTGATAGCCTTGTGGTACAAACTATTAAAATAGCTAATGTACGTGTAGTGATTACAAAAAAAAATAATCGGGGTTTTCTTGGACCTACTGCAAAAACTCAGCGTTTTCTTTCTGTGACCTTTCATACGTGCATTAGCTATTTAAAAAGTTATCAAGCCCCCCGTAAAATTTGGTGCCGTCTGATCGACTATAGGGCGCTGTACGTCGAAATGAAGTTTTAGGGTGTATTATATGGGACAAACGGGTGTAAGCTGATACCCCTTTTTTGTTTTAGAGTGTTCTGGGCTCAGAACTTAGGCCTGTGCAATCCAAATGCCTCTTAAATCTACAGACACGCATTGCTGACATCTCAACTTCCACAGTAGAACTGTCGTATCCCTCAAAATTTTAAGTCTTCTACTTAAATCAACTTTGATTTGTACCCCTCAAGTTTTTTATCATTATTTCTTCAAACGAAAGCAAAAGGGAGCCGAGTATTACTCGCTCGCCAGATGCTGATCCTCAATGCCCAACTTTTCAGAAAAGATTCTGCAAGTGTGGGTTCTTGCAAAACTTCAGCCTGGTATTCATAGCAGACATTATGCAACAACTGACCTTGGCAATGCAGTAGACTGACACTGTTAATTCAAATAATTGTAGGGTCATCGGACTCTGCATATATAAAAAGGCTTCAAGCTGCAAATAGGTTCCTCACGTTCACAGTATCCACAGCTGATACTGGTTTCATATTTAGGCACTATTACTCAGATTAAGTTTTCTTGTTCTCTTTCTCTCTTTTTCAGATTGCGCAGGCCATTCTCTGGGCGTTTAGCCTGTCTTGCGGAATGGGCAGCGTGTTTATGAAGTGCGAGTGGTACTTGTACAAAATGCCCACCACAGAATTAGGGAAAATGTTCCTCGCCTTCTTCGATAGAATCATGTGGTCCATATTTGTGGCCTGGATCACGTTTGCCTGTTCTACAAAACGAGGAGGTGAGATTCAAACTACACAGGACTTTACACGCCGCATGAGGTTCCGATGTCCATGCTATGGTTATTTTCATTTCCTTTTTTGTGCGCAATTTAAAAGAAACTTAATTGGCCAGCTTTGTAAAATGATCTCTTCGAACACTGAGCCTTTGACAACAAGGCCGTAAAATATCTAGGCAATAAAATATTGATGGGAAGTGTATGTGCTCAAAAACGTTTTTGAATACAAGGCCATCCTATTTTCTTTTTTTTTTTAGGTGTTCTCAATAGCGTCCTGTCCTGGAACGGATTCGCACCACTCAGTAAACTTGCCTTCGGGGTATATTTTGTCCACATGCCATTCTACGACTTGATGAACCACATAGCCAGGGAGAGGACGTACTTCTCTCACTTTTCTTTGGTAAGACCCGCACCAATACAACCCAATAAGCACATTTACCCATCCACTAATATTTTACGATTACAATATTTAAATCATAGAGAATACTCTCACATTCTTTGGAGACAAAAAGAGTTACATATCACGCCATTATCTAAAGAAAACACATTTAATAAAACACGCCTAGTGTTTCCGTTCCGGAAAAAGTTGAAACCGGTCCCCCCGATATTTATCTCTACAACTGGAAGTCCTATACTAGTGCTGGCATTTCCTTGATTTTTAACATTTTGTGAAGAGAGAGAGACCTTCGCACAGCGCTTACTGCTTACTATTATTATAGAATGTCCTCATTTTCTAGATACTTCCGCACGCAAACCTCATCAGAAAATGCTGTCAAACCAGGGCGAAAGATAATAGATGCCTTATCTTATCCTTGTATCTGAAATGTCGTATAATCCTTAAGATAATCTAGAATACAATAAATGACGGCAATTAACAGAGTGCATTATCGACAACATGAAATTTGAACAATAATCACTGTCACTCTACGTTAACATCTATCTCTGCATCTGGGCGGCAATACTCCATGAAGAGAAAGTTTACCAGACACAACAAAACAATTAACCACCAAAAGCTTCTATGATCACGAAACAATTTATGCCGGGTACTTCACTAACAAAAACCCAAAAGAGCCATATCTTGAAGCATGTTCTTTCTATATACCTAATAAAGGCAGGTCTAAATTATAAAACACAGTAAACTGAGCTAATTCAATCAATTTAACTTAACTTTATTATTACTAATCAGCCCTGACGGCAAAACTTTAAACAGCCCATTTTAGTAAATTCTCGTGTGTGGCATCCAGAAGCCTTCTTGTTTGTTTGTTTGTTTGTTTGTTTGTTTGTTTTTTTGTTTTGTTTTTTCATAGTGCACAATAACTCCTAGAAACTCAGAAAACTACCCACATAAGCCTTAATTTGTGAAAAGTTAAAGAAAGGCTAAATTTAAAACAAAAAGTTGGGACCAAAGTAGAATCAAGATTAGTCTAGCGTTGTAACCAGCCCGCGAAACCTTCGTTTTCAAAATAAAGCATTAAGAACAAGGCGAGTTTGTAGAATGGTTAATATTTCCAAAAGTCAAGTCCAAAAAAACGCATGCAAAATCTTTTTGTGCTTTGTGTCTTTTCTATATTTTCTCGTGCGCTCACTTCTTTTTTTTTTCTTTTTTTTTTTACGCAGAACGCGATTTACGTTGTAACTGCTATATGCGTGTTCTCTGTAGTGCTCTCGTTCTTAACGCCACAACAGGCAACGTCACTGGTTCATCTACATATTCGAATGTTTACAAAATGTGTTGTTCCTACCAGGTGTCCCAATGCTTCAGTGTGCTACTCTGGAGCTACATACTGAGCTATTTCATGTACATCGCCTGCGAAGCTCCGGTGGCCCACTTGGACCGGATAATGTTTGCGCCAAACAGAAGAAAACAAGACGACGATTGCGGCAAGGCTCAAGAATCATTCCATGTAAAAGACGGCGGTGTCATCAACTGCAGTTACAAAGAATACTGTATTGAGGGCAACGGAAAATATAGGACGCGTGAGTGCGACTAGAAACATCATCGCTAGGTTACTTTAGCAGGTCCGGTCATGCAGTAGATATGTTGATGAGTCAGACGAGAGAAGCAATCACATGTCAGGTAATGCGGGTAATGCATCAGGTCAAGCCAGCCTGGGTTCTCTCCAGGAACGTGACAGGTACCCGATATATTGTCCGCGTTAACATGGCAGAAATATAAAGCTGGGATTGATTAGCCGCTAATTGAGTCAGATATGGTCTGTTATATATCTAAGAGCTCCCCGACAATTGTGTTTCTATTACAGTAAACAAGATATTATCGCATTATTTAGATAGTCATACAACAAAACACGCATTGGACTTTGTCTGAGAGGATTTATACTTTCACAACATTCATCTTTCATTTCAACTCATTTTTCTTTGCACTGAAGCAGATTTTTTATGTTATATGTGGCTACACCACCACAAGCAAACTACGAACATTTATATATACATGGTGTTTCATCAAACATCGGCCAACCTTCCCATGCAAAACGTAGACAACGCAGGGAAAGAAAAAAATGATTGTCCTTGACTGCGCTCTTGAAATTTAGAGATATAATATGATATTTGTGTATTCTATCGTCTGTAATGTTTTGCAGCGCTTTTTGTGTTTTACATCTCACACTTTTATAAGGAGGTTTAAGGTGACGTACTTCCGGCTCAAGATCTAGCCGGAAGCCACGTTGGTGAACCTTCGCCCTTTGTCTGTTTATGCGCGGAGGCATCATTTTCCAGCTGCATCGCGATCGACTGAGCCAGCCAGAGTCATCACAAACATAAAACAGCATTGGCTGGTACTCGATTTTGATACCTGCAAGTCTTACCTCGGACTTCAGGTGAGTCAAAAATTGAGATGTTGACTAGTAGAGGTGCCGCCGGGGGCGATTCCTATAGAAGAAAAAGTAGTAAGTATTGAGCAGGACAAAAACCCCGAGACTGCGGGTGAAAACGACACATACACTAGAAGGTCACAAACAAAACTGAAGAATTTATTTTTCAAAAAGTGCCTAAATAGCACCGAGGCCAAAGAATTTCTCCACATTAGGACCCTAAGGGGTCACCATAATAACAGAAGAGACATCGCTACAACTACCCCCTCTACTGCCCCTAAACCTCTTTCTGAGCGAAACACTACAACCTCACTCTACACCAGAACAACTTTCTGTGGTAGCACTAAACGAAACACGGGTCACGTCACCTACTCTTCCTGACCGCTTAACAAAGAGCCTTCAAGTTTAACAGCCCTCAAACAGCAAGAAAACGTCATAGTTTACTGCACAACTCAAAATTGACGCGGGTCAAAAAAAATGTTTAATGAGATCTACGCAAGTTTAGAATAACTCGCAGGCAGGTTTTCAATATGTGTCACCATCGCACTGGTTGCCATCTTGAGCACATCTCGCAGTGTCATGTCCGCGGGCCGCACAGAAAGTGCCCATAATCCAGATGTGGCCTGCGGGCCGCATGTTGTTCACCCATGGTTTAGACTCTATACAAAACTAAGCCTTGTTTACAACTTTCACGTGTCTTAGTGATTCTTTTATCAAGCGCTTGTGATCATTTTCCCCGCAATTCTACTGAAGTAAAACCCCATAACCGTACAGAATTGCAACATTCAGCGACATGTTTATATATTTCTAAGCATTAGTCTTACGTTGTCATGCTTAATGATCATGCCTAATATTCACCTGCTCGTTGGCGCCCTTACATTCAGTTCAGCAAGCGTTGGTTTTCCGGCCCCAAATAGGCCACCGGTTGTACTTACTCAGTTCTGTAGTCGACAGATCCACTCGCCAGGTGTGTGCGCTTCGCTAACACCAGTAACAATGTTAATGACCAAGCGTATGCATGCAAACCAATGGTCAGAGTGGCGGACGCTGCGCACAAACATGGCGGAACGCGGATTACTGGAAGTGAAAACTCTTTTCGTGAAACCGCCCCATAAGAATCGGGGTAAGGAGTAGTATTATAAATATATATATATATATATATATATATATATATAATAAAAACAATTGGGTTCCATTACTGACTGCCACGAGACATAATTAATGGTGTACATTTTTAACGAGTTTTTATTTGTTACACAGAATTTATTTTCCAGCACTATAAGTAAACTTTTTGTTCGAATAGTAAGTTGTAACCTTGCCGATCGTCATTGAAACGCACTAAAATAAAAATAAAAAGACTTCTAGCGCGTGCGAGCAGTGCTGGTGCGCAGGAGTTTACGTTTGCGCTACAGGCGCAAGGCTCGAGGACTGAAAGTGTGGATGATAAGAAAATAAAAAAACCGTCGATTGGTTGGCATTTCCGGAACTCAAATACAAAGAACACGCTCCATTTTGTTTTCTTTCTGTTCTTTAAAGATAATTGGTTTAGTGATTTTATAATGGTGCTTATCAAGTTTTCAATTAAACATTTGTTTGCTTTCACTGATCATAAATATTATCGTGAGCGTTGTACCTCCGTAACTAGATCCCTTGACGGTGACCGATATGGTACCTACGTATCCTAGTTCTATGCGATACGTTGGTAGTACAAGAAATTTATTGGCCGATATCAGGTAGAATAAATAGCCCTGCAATCATACTTCACACTTCACAAAATGTTTTTAATAATCGAGGTAAGACCGAGCTGCACATTGCAATTTGTGTACATAATATAGTGTAGAGAAAATGCTGCAATATCAAATCTTCATAATTCAGTCGCACAATGTGCATCTCGTTCTTAAATTTATTTTATTTTTCTATAATAATATCGGAAATTATAGCTGATTAAAATTGTTTGATCTCATTAGTTGAAGTTACTTTTTTTTTCAAAGTTTTGTCATTTTAGACTCAAAATGACTGAATAATAAACCTCCTACCCACGTATTCATCAATGTTCATTTTTATGTATACTCATCATATAGTCTCCGTACGCAAAACTTCTCTGAGTCTCGATCCGTTTTCCCACTTCTGAAAAGCTATTTGCAAATAAAACCATTATCTCCAATTCCTAACTGCGGCAATCTGATTTTTTTCTTTCTGACTTTGAAAGCCAATTGCTGTTGACAGAATGCGGTGTGCGTACCAAAATTGGTACCTAACGCTGCTGCCGTGTGGAGGAAAGGGGTTCAGATCCCACTCGGGCCAGTTTTAACTTCCTGTGAAAGTTCTTGCCAATTGCCGGCTGCCATTGTGTGTTTTGGTTCAGAACGTACCCGAGCCTACCACCAGTATAAAAGCAGCGGAAAGGGGCTTCTTAGGGACAGTCGCCCTTGTCGCCCTTTCGTCGACGACTCAGGATGCCCGGAACGTTTCTCTGTTTGCAAGCGCAAGCTTTCCATATCAGACCCTAGGTATCCTAGGTTATTTATCGTTTCGTCACTCGTCATCTCTGACATTCTGGTAGAAGTGCGAGATACATTCCAGCCCCTTTCAACGCTTCCGTGAAAACTACCATGACCTCTGACGACGACAACGACGAGCGATAGAGACCCTATTGAAAGATCTCATTTGTATGAGAAATTTCTGTGTCCAATAAACACATATGAATTATACAGGATATTTAATAACATATAAAAACCACATAAGAACTATATAAGAACTATATAAGATGTTTAACAACGTATAAGAACCATATAAGAAACTTGTGAGATGTTTCTTAGAAGTTTCTTATATGGTTCTTATATGTTCTTATATATCTTACATAGTTATTCTATAGTTCCTATATGTTTTTACGTGTTCTTATAAATCTTGTATGATTCATATGTGTTCATTGGACACAAGAAATTTCTCATACAAACGGTTTTTGCACTAGAGGCCTACGACGGACAACAACGACAGTAGAAGACGCCACAAGCTCCCTCAGCGACTAAAGACCTACGACAGTGATTGACGACGACTGAAGGCGACCCATGAAGATGAACATGACAACGGCGGACAGTGACAGAAGACTCTGACAGACAAGGACAAGCGCAACCACGAACAACGGCAAACAGCGGCAAAGGATGGAGACAGACGCACGAAGACGACGATTAACAGGCATTGTAAACCAACGACAAACGAAAAACGACCAACGGCGAACGGCTAACGGTGAACGAAAACGACAATAAGTAACAACTGGCAACGGGGAAGAACAACGACGACACAGGCGACATGACGGCGAACGTGGATGAGTGATGACGGCCACCGCGATCACTGGTGACGAACCATGAAGAAAATGTGACCATGGTGAATTTAAGAGTGTCAGGAAATTGTTTTGCAGTGTATTATCTTACCATTGGGCCTGTCTTTCGATAAGAAACGGGACGCTGCTTCTTGGAAGGAGCAAAATGCTGCAACCATAGTGGAGTTCGCAACGCACGCGGCTTGCACGCAGAAGGACGTGGTTCGAACCCCACTCGGCGCAGTTCTTACATTCATTAAACTTTCCTCTGTGTATTATAAAATCTAAGTTAACACACTGTTTTGTAACAGTTGCCGACACAGGATGTGTTGTACTTTTCTCTTTAGGTTTCTGGGCATAATTTTGCCACACTGAATCTTTAGTTTTCTAGGTTATTTATTGTTTCGCCACTCGTCATTCGTGACAATAGTAAGCATCAATTCTTTCCTGAGTAGATAAAAAGCGATGCCTGCAATTTTAGTACGAAAGGTTATCCGTCACAGACGGCGGTAGCAGCCTATTCGTTAAATAACGCTACATTTTCTGGCGCACTAAAACACGACGCAGCCCTTGGGCACTATCCCACGCCATATCGCATCCTTAGCACAAACGTATGGTTCAGCTCAGTTTAATCATCTTCAAAGGCACTTCAATGAGGTGCATTACATGAGAAGGAAAAGAGGGGGGGGGGGGCAATCAAGTACACCAAAATAACAGTGAAGGTTGCCGAATAAAAGTTATATTAATCATGAAAAGAGTCATTACAAAAGTCATATAAAATAAAAGTGAGAAATAGGAAGTAATATTCAATAAAGATTTTGACTAACGAGAAACACTTGTGAGG